TCCAGTCCATCACAGGGACACCTGGACAGGTCTCCAGTCCATCACAGAGACACCTAGGGACAATTTAGAGTTACCATCAGTCTAACATGCATGTTTTTGATCTGTGGGAGGAAACTGGAGCACCTGGAGAAAACCCCCACAGCACGGGGAGAACATGTAAACTCCACCCAGAAAGGCTCTTCAGCTTCCACCCCCCCCCACGTGCGTCTCAGCCGGGCACCAGGGTTCTCCAGCACCCCGTCGCTTGGTGGAAACACTGGATCAGCTGTGCTGAAAGTCCAGCTGACCAGATCCATGACGGTAATTTACGATTCAGAAGATACACAAGACGGAGGAGGAGAGGAGGAGCAGGAGAGGAGGAGCAAGAAGAGGAGGAGCAGGAGAGGAGGAGCAGGAGAAAAGGAGAAAGAAGAGGAGGAGCAGGAGAAGAGGAGCAGGAGAGGGGGAGCATGAGGAGGAGCAGGAGAGGGGGAGCAGGAGAGGAGGAGCAGGAGAGGAGGAGCAGGGAGAGGAGGAGCAGGAGAAGAGGAGCAGGAGAGGGGGAGCATGAGGAGGAGCAGGAGAGGAGGAGCAGGGAGAGGAGGAGCAGGAGAAAAGGAGAAAGAAGAGGAGGAGCAGGAGAAAAGGAGCAGGAGAGGAGGAGCAGGAGAAAAGGAGCATGAGAGGAGGAGAAGGAGAGGAGGAGAGGAGGAGCAGGAGAGGAGGAGCAGGAGAGGGAAGGAAAGCATCCTTCTTGCTCCAGGGCGAGTGAGGAGGAAAATGTCCGAAGTCTTGAATTAAACATTTATTTTACAACTTAACAACAAAAGATGTTCAAAATGTCTCCAACACATTCACACAATAACAAAGTTATAAAAATAAAATTAAAAAGACCTTTAGCTTCATCCTTGGGCGAGTTTTACCGTTGGACTCGTGTTTTTGAAGCATGCTGAAATAAAACGCCGCTGTGGATGGATGCTGTGCTGTGGAGCTGGATCAGAGTCAGAGGTTCTTTATGTCATTCGCAACACGTGTGGTACACGTGGTGGAACAAAATGTGTCCCCAGGGTCCCAGTTACATCCAACAATAACATGTAAAATAAAACCAGTAACATCTAAGATGTGAACTCAGAAAAACATCAGCGCGACGTTTGAGGGAACGTTCTGGGAGCTGCTGCTTCTCCCAGAGCTCGAGTGAATCAGGTGGTTGAATATTTCACGTCCTGCTGAGATGATGCTGCTGCTTCTCATCTCATCAAACCTGACGGAGGAGTTGGAGTCCAGTTCCTCCTGCTGGCTCTTTCCACTGACACTCCTCTCTGCTCCCGGCCCGGTGGTGTGAGATGCTGCTCCACCTTGTTGTCTCCGCCTGGCCAATGGGAGGCCGGCGAGCGTATGCAAATGATGAGGAGAGGACGACAGCTGCAGGTGTCATGTACCACCCGGGTCTCTGCGGTGCCGGCCTGTGGCCTCATGGGGGCTGCCGGCGTCGGAAAACAACTCCACCACCTCAGTATCAGATCTTTCTACTGACTTGTAGCTTGGATCAGACGAGATGGGCGTGAAGTTCTTTACAGGAACGCAGACCCAGTCCTGACGGACGGCATTCCTCTGCAACAGGCCCTGCTGCGACTCGAGCAGCTCCACGTAACGCTCGGGGTCACCGGCACGAGCCGAGGTCTTTAGACACAGGTCCGAGTCAAACCTCAGCCGAACATTCAGCACATCTGAAGAAACGAAAGAACTACATTTCACGTGAAAACACGGTAAATGCTTGTTGCTGAAGAACTTGCTGAAAAACAGCTGAAATGTAACTGAAATGAAAGAACAAACCTAAATTAGCAGAAGAAAGCAGAGAGAACACATATTTGCTAAATTAGGTTTAAATAATCAGAAATGAGCACAGAAATTATGAAATTACCTAAAAAAAGGTGAAATTGGTTAAAAGCAGCTGAAATTAGCTGAAAGTAGCTGAAGAAAAGTTTCAACTTGCACGAAGAAGCTGAAGCAGAACAAAATGAATGGAGCAGTAAAAGGTTGTAAACAGTGCTCAGTGAGCTCAATTCAGCTTCTATGAGAAAAAAGGCTAAATATTTCAAAAAGCTAAAGCTGCACCAACACCAAAAGTCACAGCAGGATTGTCCTGAAAGAGCCGAACATTTTGATTCATGATTTGTTGAAACAGTTTAAAAACCGGGGGACGAGAACGATGCTGAAAAAGGTCCAGAAGAAAACTGGACCAGAGTGAACGCGTCATGAACGTTTGAGTCGTCTCAGAGTTCCAGGGTCGAGTATGAAGATCGTGTGGTCCGAACACATTTAGACTCCTGAACGTCACACTTCTGTCATTCTGCCACTTGTCACTTTGCTCTAACTCAAACACACTTGACACAACTCAGTCTCACAAAGCAACAGATTTGTTCCACAAAATATGAAAAAGTTTCTCTAGCCCACAACTACGTGCTGAAATTATTCTTTAAGGTCTATTCCAGTCATTTTGAAACATTCATGAGCATTAACATCTTACCTGTCGCAGATAATCAAGATCTTAGCAGCAACTAAGTAGCACTTCCTGTGCAGCCTGGGGGCACTTCCTGTGCAGCCTGGGGGCACTTCCTGTGTAGCCTGGGGCACTTCCTGTGCAGCCTGGGGGCACTTCCTGTGTAGCCTGGGGGCACTTCCTGTGCAGCCCGGGGGCACTTCCTGTAAAGATATCGCAGTATTTTTGTTGAAATTATTGTCATGTCAAACTGACGGCAGTTGAAGGTTTTATAGGAGCTCTTATTATGAAATTAAACGGAGCGTTAGGTTTGCTCAAACTGTTTAATGATCCTGCCAAGGGTAAGCTGGAAGTGCTACAGCTAGCTGCTGCGCAAGTATTCACATAGTTCTTGGTAAATCAACACAAAATGCAAAACTGACTTTGGTGCAAACGTTTATAAAATAATGTTTTAAACAGGTGGTGATCCATGCGGGACTGAGGCTGTTCAAAGAGCTATCTGCAACAGGTAAGATACTGACTGTTCATACCTTTTCCACAGAACTCCACTTCAGAACGTCCAGAATGATTCCTCCTCATTATCTTCTGGTTTTAAAGTCTGCGCTGAAGGTGAGGACGCTTCAGTTTGTAAACTGATGCAGGTCCTCTGCTCTGCGGTTGATACTTGATTTAACATGAATTATGTCGTTTACTGAGTCGTTTACTGAGTCGTTTATTGAGTCATTTATTGAGTCGTTTACTGAGTTGTTTATTGAGTCGTTTACGGAGTCGTTTACTGAGTCGTTTACTGAGTCATTTATTGAGTCATTTACTTAGTCGTTTATTGAGTCGTTTACTGAGTCGTTTATTGGGTCATTTACGGAGTCGTTTATTGAGTCATTTACTGAGTCGTTTACAGAGTCGTTTATTGAGTCGTTTACAGAGTCGTTTATTGAGTCGTTTACTGAGTCGTTTATTGAGTCGTTTACTGAGTCATTTACTTAGTCTTTTATTGAGTCGTTTACTGAGTTGTTTACTGAGTCGTTTATTGGGTCATGTACTGAGTCGTTTGAGTCGTTTACTGAGTCATTTATTGAGTCGTTTACTGAGTCGTTTACTGAGTCGTTTATTGAGTCGTTTACTGAGTCGTTTATCAAATCTGATGAGAAGTCGTCTGTTTGTTGACTTTAAAAAAACGTCCTGGGACATTTTGAAATGATTCCAACAAGCTGCCGTTTATACTCCAATTGCTTTACGAGTTCCCTTTAGTGTAAATGCAGCGTTTAAAACAAATATTTGACCTTAATTATCATTAATTTACAGGCATCAGGGAGTTAGTTTCAAATCAGTTAATCTGTTGCGGATTTTAACACAACAGAAGTAAAAAAAACAATAAAATCTTTCAGATTATGGAGAAAGAAAATGTTTGCATGTTTAAATCAAAGGATCCAGATAAAAGTTAAATGTTGGACAAAAACTTTAACAAGTTTTGCTCGTTTTTCTTTCAGCTCCACAATTTGGGCTCAAACCGTCAGCCTCAGGGTGAGACGGCGACACAGACCACCAAGCCACCGTGACCCTCGAGTCAGGTATAATTTAGTTTTAGTCATAATTTGGTGACATAGTTGCTCATTATGGATCCAAACGGATAATTTTTTCCTCGTAGGTGAATCGTGAGAATAAAGAACTTTTCTTTAGAAACTGTTAAATGTTGTTTAAGATGGAAAAACCACGAAGTGACGTTTTAGAAACACAGCTGCAACACCTTTTATTGTGCTGGAAGTAAAGTCACCGGGCTCCATCGGCACATTTTAAACATTTAATAATTGAATCTTAAATGACGACGTTTCAGCGAGGACGTGCTTCAAAGAGTAAAGAAGAGCAGGTTGTGATTTGTGAGACAGGAAACGGTCGCAGCTCATTCATTCACGAGACACGAGGGTCAATATTCAAACTTTTATTTTCTTAAAAAAGACAAGTGAACCCTGAGCATCAACCCAACAAGCTTCAACGTACGTGCACGTAACATGCCAGGACACAAACCGTGAGAATAAATAACGGGAGTCACGACTGAAGACCGGAGCAGAGGGCGAAAACTGCACGACCTCTACACGACCTCTGCTCTCAGCCAGCTCACAAAAACTACGACCTTTTCCATCAATAAATAAAAGAAAGTGTCACGTGTTTACAGACTTCTTGATTTATATCATTATATTTATATATATTCATATATATTCATATATATTTATATTTACAGAAGTAACCAACAAAAGGTCCAATGAAGAAAAGTTCATACAAAATATTTACAGGAACTATTTACAGCTACAATCTTTCAAAATAAAACAGTTTCTTCACTTTGGGTTCGTTCAAATAAAAGTCAGCAGCTAAAGTGTGCGGCTCCTGCGGCTCCTGCGGCTCCGGTCACGTGCGCAGAGTTTGGACGAGCATGAACACAGAGATCAACATCAGCTGATGGTCCGCAGCTCCGGCCGGAGTGACGGCCGCAGGACGAGAGCTGCTCAGGACCTGGAAGGCAAGAGGCACACGAGGAAACAGTGCACGTCTGGCGTGCATGTGTCGGGGAATTAAATGGTGGGTGCAGTGAGCCCGTGCACGTTGCTGACAGCATCCTGCGTTGTGAGAGAGCGACTGGTCCAGCCTCACTCCTGAAGTTTAAACTCGCTCCTCCGTCTCCTCCGTGTCCTCCGTCTCCTCCGTGTCCTCCGTGTTAGGCTACATCCAGGTCGTCCAGGCTCACCATTTGTCTCTGCAAGAAGAAAGAACGTCTTGAAAAGAGCAAGACAAACGCCACGAGAAGAGCGCGGGCGGCGTGCAGCTACCTCGGGGTACACGTAGCCGTCGGAGCCATTCCTGTAGATGTGCAGCTCGTCCTCCGTGGTTTTCTGGTACACCGGGTTGTCGAAGTGGATGGTGTTGGCGCTCTTCACTCGCCACTGTCGCCATAGCAACACTGCTCCCAACGCCACCACGACGAGGATCACTGCAGAGGAACAGGAAGTGGACCGTCGGGTCGTCAGGAAACGAGCTGACGGTTACGAGAGAAGCTTTGACGAGGAGCGGCTGAAAGGACGGACTCACCGAGCGGCAGCGCCACGTAGAGCGCAGCCGGGTGGGAGGACGGCGCCTCCGCAGGCGCCGCCGGCTGGACTCTGCCTGAAAACAGCAACAGAACAGGCTCAGCTCGCAGGTGACGCCACGCAGGAGGAGTTCATTTTAGTGTTCATTTATTTTACAATCGTCTCACTCACCTTGAGTATCAGCAGGTTTCTGTGTGCTCTGGATCGTGGAGCTACTCGTGGGCCGGGTGGAGGTGGGCTGTTTGGTGGGAGGTGGAGGTGCCGCTGAGCCTTCTGACAACAATGAGAAGAGTTACTCAGTGAACGTCTTTATTTTTATAAATCCCTGCAGCGGCACGCACCTCGGACACATGTCCTCATGTCGGTGTGGAGCGTGGCGTTGTCCGGACAGGTGCAGGTGAACTGGGCGGAGCTCTGCTCCGTCACAGGAGCAGGGAGGCACAGAAACTCACACCCTGCACCCGTTCGGTGGCCCTGCGTGCACCAGTTCACACCTACAGATGGAAAAGGTCCAACTCAGCGAGGCGGGTTCACACGAGCTCCTGGATGAAAAGACGTCTTCTTACCGAGCGGCTGCTTGAGGCTGTGGTGGAGCACCAGGTCCTCGGGCTGCCCCACGTCAGACACCAGCTCCCTCATGTCCCGTCCAGTCCAGCGGTTCGCACTAAAAATGGCGCTCTTGCTGGCGTCCGTCCAAAAGACTTTCTCCTGTTGAGACAAGCGACAGGTTTCAACAACGCGGCCTCTTGGTTTGCTCCGCCCCTTTTCAAGAAGCACAGCGTCTGCGGTGCCTTCACTGACCTCAAAGACGGCCAGCGAGAAGGGTCGGTGGAGCTTTTCCACACCGGAGAGCACCGTGTGTCGGGTCCCTCCGTTCACGTCGATGCTGGAGATGGTGTGCAGCTTGGAGTCGGCCCAGTACAGACGCTGGTTGACCATGTCTGCCCAGAGAAGAGGCGGTTATTACAAACCATTACACGCTTTACTGGGATTCATTTGTTTCTATTAAACCACGGCGCTCTGGTTACCAAGAGTGATGCCGTTGGGCCATTCAATGTCGTCTTTCACCAAGACGCTGCGACCGGCGCCGTTTAGCCCGCACTTCTCAATTTTAGGCTCCTCCCCCCAGTCTGTCCAGTACATGAAGCTAAAGAGGACGAAGCAGAACCAGTTAGGACCTGGCTGCATGGTAGACCATTTATTTACCTCCAGCTGAAGGAGCGGTGAGAAAAGCTTGCGTACTTATTCACCGGGTCCACCGTGATGGCTCTGGGCTTCCCGAGGTTCTCCGTCACCAGGGTTCTCCTCTTGCTGCCGTCTGTGGTCGCCACGGAGACGGTCTTCAAAATGCTGTCAGTCCAGTAGATGTTGCCATGGATCCAGTCCACTGCGACACCTTCTGGAGCCTCAATCCAGCTGCCGATCACAACGCTGTGACGAGAGGAGTCGCCGGCCTCGTCCATCCTGGAGCTGTGGGAAGAGACGACAGAGGAGACTCAGTCCAGAGCATCTTCTCGTCCACAGAAGCTCGATGAAGTCATAAAGTATGAAAACAGTTTTTTAGAAAGCATTTGAGCTCAACAACATTTTGGACTCTAACCTGAAGATTTTCTTCAGAGACAGGTCAGACCAGAAGATCTTCTTGTTTGGCAGGTCCAGGTCCAGAGCCACTGCGTTCTTCAGCTGCGACATCAGTCTGACGTACTCGCTGCGGTCCACCGTGATCTTCCTCACCTCGTGCTTGTTGGTGAAGAACAGCGTGGGCACCGTCCCTGCAGGACACCAAGACGAGCGTTCACACGGGTCCACGAGGAGGTCGTGATGTGCGTCAGGAGAACGTTGGACGATCTGTTACCTGACTCAGCTTTGCACGTGTTGCTCGTGGGGTCCATCTCGTAGCCGTCGTTGCAGTCGCACTTGAAGCTGCCGGGCAGGTTGATGCAGACCTGACCGCAGACGTCCGGAAGCTCACATTCATCGACGTCTGCGGGATCAAACAACGAGTCGAGTTTTAGTTTGTCTCCTCTTTCACAGCTGGGGACAGCTGAGGACAGCTGGGGACAGCTGAGGACAGCTGGGGACAACTGGGGACAACTGAGGACAGCTGGAGACAGCTGAGGACAGCTGGGGACAGCTGAGGACAGCTGGGGACAACTGAGGACAGCTGGAGACAGCTGAGGACAGCTGAGGACAGCTGGAGACAACTGAGGACAGCTGAGGACAGCTGGAGACAACTGAGGACAGCTGGGGACAGCTGGAGACAGCTGGGGACAACTGAGGACAGCTGGAGACAACTGAGGACAGCTGGAGACAGCCGAGGATAGCTGGGGACAGCTGAGGACAACTGAGGACAGCTGAGGACAGCTGGAGACAACTGAGGACAGCTGGGGACAACTGGGGACAGCTGGAGACAGCTGAGGACAGCTGGGGACAGCTGAGGACAGCTGGAGACAACTGAGGACAGCTGGAGACAGCTGGGGACAACTGAGGACAGCTGGAGACAACTGAGGACAGCTGAGGACAGCTGGAGACAACTGAGGACAGCTGGGGACAACTGAGGACAGCTGGAGACAGCTGAGGACAGCTGGGGACAGCTGAGGACAGCTGGGGACAGCTGGGGACAGCTGAGGACAGCTGGAGACAACTGAGGACAGCTGGGGACAACTGAGGACAGCTGGAGACAACTGAGGACAGCTGAGGACAGCTGGGGACAGCTGGAGACAGCTGGGGACAGCTGAGGACAGCTGGAGACAGCTGGGGACAGCTGAGGACAGCTGGGGACAGCTGAGGACAGCTGGGGACAGCTGGGGACAGCTGAGGACAGCTGGAGACAACTGAGGACAGCTGGGGACAACTGAGGACAGCTGGGGCAACTGAGGACAGCTGGAGACAGCTGGGGACAACTGAGGACAGCTGGAGACAACTGAGGACAGCTGGAGACAACTGAGGACAGCTGGGGACAACTGAGGA